AAATTTGTGAACCGTTCATGCTCCGGTGTGCCGAGTTTTCGCAGCAATAGTCTGACTTTCCATCCGTCATCAAATTTGGAAAACCAGTCTTGAACATGTCTTCGTACCGCTTGAACCAGGAGTCAAAAGTGTGACCAGAAAGAGGGTCGAATGTGAACTCCGTAATTGAGGCCGCGGCTGCATCAGTTGAGGAAACAGAAGACTCACCAGTACTAACTGCTGCTGTCTGGATATGCAGTTTCTGAGTCAGTGATTCAATGAGCTTCGGTTGCGCTTCTTCAAACTGCTTTTGTTGTTGCTGCAATAGTTCTCGGAGCTGATCAAATCCGATTGACATCATGAGTTCCCGTTCGCCAATTGTAGCAACGGTATTTTCCTCAGCTTAGTTGTCGGTCAGAGCCTCCCAAGCTAGCCTTCACGTCAAAACAACCACCAAAGGTGCACAAGGTCCATTAACGCCCAAACTGAAGTCAAGAACAGTTGTACAGCGCTTCTTATGTATAGCTTAAGCGGTTATAACTTTCTGGAATTTCTGACGCGTTCTGGATGCGCCATTGGCAACCGGCATTTGGCCAATACTGGGTCATGATTGACTGTTGGGTCCAGATTGTTGACCAATCAGATCTCATCTTGATGCCGGACCGGCAAGCGTCCCGAATTCTGGGCCAACCTCGAGCGGGTCAGGCTCATTGGCCGTAGCAGCACCTAAAGACGTGCGGTATAATGGGATCCGTATGGATTCCTGCCTAACAGACCCCGAGACTCAAATCACAAGTGGTTGATGACATTGACGGAACTGGCCCAACGGCGTAGTCGGTGGCGCTCGTGCATCAAAGCTATCGCCTTCAGTGTGCAGCTACCCAATTTCCGAACAAACTGAATATGGCTTTGCCTCGAAGGCCCGATTGTGCGTTCCATACTCTTGTTTTCCGGTGATTGAAACTGTAGCAACTGGAACCAGTGTGCCTATGGTACGCGGTCTATAGCCTATAAATTGAATTGATGGAATTGAAAATGCCAGTACACTGCATTTAAAAAACGTGTCCCAACACAAGGAGGACCAGGAGACACTGTCGGTGAGGCCTACGATGATTGGCTGGTCCGGAATAAGAGACCTCGCGGATGCCACACGAATACCTCCAGGATAGCTCAATGGAAGCTCAAAGTTCGTCACACCACGGTAAGGTCCAGTCTCTCCGTGGAGGATTCGAGGCGCACTCCACTTGGTCTCATTTGGATGAAGCTTTATTGCAGAGAATCGGTAACCCTGTCTGTGCAACACAACCATAGTGCCCAGCATTGGTGCGAATTCAGGTCCTGTGTATACACAGATGACTTGCTAGTTGATAATGAGCGTGCGTCGTATGGGTGAATTTATTTGATTCTAGGCTGTTCTGCATCCAGTCATATTCGTGTCTTGTCTTCAAACCTTACTGTGCATTTGGACTCAGTTAATTTTTTATCCTCTATATGTTTACAGTTGTCTTGTCGTAACCTGGTTGTCTTCTTCAGCCAACTTATATCCCAGCGTTTATCCCGGGAACTCATATCCTATGAGCGAAGATTATCGTGATTTCGAGGAGCAGTTACGTCTGCAAAACTTACCCAACGATGTCCAAACCAGTAAAACCCGCGTTGACCCAGATGGCACCGTCATGGAATGGGATGAAAGACGAAAGGCTTGGTTTCCAAAGGTTAGTTAGATTGATGGAGAAAAACAACATACCTGTCTGGTTTTGGCGGTGTTTCTTCATGATCGCAGCATTGCACTATTAATTAAGGTCAACGGCTCGTTAACTTGGAACCCTGGAGGAATGCGTAACGGAGCTTTTGGCAACTTAACACGTGAGGCTAATTATTTGCCACAATGTTTCTACAGTCTGCAACCAGATTAAACTAAAAACATCCGGATGTCCTTCGCTCACCTCATTCTATCTACCTCAGTGTTATGCTGGATCTTAAAATACAGAAGTCACCATGAACCGCATAAGAAAGAAATGCCATCACAATCACATTTGAGATTAGTTCTTTCTGGAGCATATCTCGTCAAATGATAAGACTTTGACCTGTTCTGTTGTGTACAGTACATTGGACCTAAGATGAGCTGCGTAGAATCAAGTGTCTCGTGGACCTCAACTTTTAGCGTGAAATCCAAATGTACGAATTTTTCAAAAAGCAAGTAACCTCTCTGCAAAGAGCTTTTCAGCTTCTGATGGGACGTAGGCTCTTTAGTGACGATCTGTGTTAGGACGGTCAGGTCCTGACGAATAATTCTGCCCTTTGTAATATTTCACTGAGGTCTCTTTTTCTTTCTGTTGTAGCCACCTGAGCCGCAGCGCTCTTTCTTCCATTGGTTCTTCTGCAATATAGCCGCTCTTCATCTGGTGTCCTTTATCTTCTTCCTTGAGGTTTTCCCACTTAAGTAACTAGACTATCAACGTGACAGAATAAATTGCATCAAGCTCCTAAATCACTCAGCTAGCACCCACGATACAACACTGGCGACGGGGATGGGATCCAAATCAGTGTAACACGTCGTGAAAAGGTTGCACAAAATTTGCAATCTTTCAGAACTTCTCCAGTAAGCAATATATTATGTATTCAATAATGGGTTTGTCGCCCGCTATAAATAGGGTCCGATTCACACTGAATATCTCGAGTTTTAAACGTTAACTTCGGTTGTAGCTCGGTAGCATAGGTAGTGTCTGTTGATGCGCTTTTGGCTTCTTGCTTGTTTTGACCTCTTTTTTAGTACACTCTCATCAGATTCACTATTATTCAAAGTTGACGTTGCATGAAGCTGACATCGTTTGTTTACGGGCGCCTACAATATTCTATGACACCATCCAAAAGTCATTCTAATGGTAATGGGCACCCAAAAACCAGACGTTTAAGCAGCCTCAAGGTTATGTCTCCATAGTTTTCAACCAAACACATAAGTTGTGTCCTAGTTAGGCTGGCGGAAGAGAGCGGTGGGTCCTCATTTAATGTGCTATATTCGTTTGGCGATATATTCAGTGGAAGCAGGAAGGCTACGTATCGTGTCAAGGTTCGCTAGTACACACTGTGTGACGACTCATGCTTGTCTTTTTCCTCCCCCCTATTAGATTGATGATGATTTTATTGCGCGTTATCAGATGAGTTACGGTGTGGTCACCACAGACGACAACCAACCTACCCCACATGTAGACACGCAAAATGGGAACTCGGTCTCCTTGGATTGGAGCAATTTCAACACCAGACTAGCACAACTACGTGCTGAGAAAGGCGAAAACTCAGATGAGGTGCAAGCTTTCACTAAGGCTGCTCATGATTCTTTAACAGCCTACTATAATTCTCCTGCTTATCGGGAGTGGTATGAAAACTACTGCAAACACCAGGCAGAGACTGCCAAACCAGCGCCAGCTGCTGTAACACAGTCTACCGTACTTCAGCCACGGAAACCGAGACACGATCTTAAACCGTCTGAACGCATGCGAAGCACCTTAGTGGATGATGGCGAGGATCCCGAGATTGCGCTTGCTCGAGCTGAGGCGGAGCAGCAAGCGGGTGTTCCTTTGTCCGTTGATACCGAGGCACCAAAAGGCGAATCAGCCACTGAGCACACACCTGCTGAATCAGCAGCCACTGAACCTGCTGCCACTGTGTCAACTAAACGGAAAACCACAACGCCTGCACCCGCCTGGTACGAAGTGAGTGCCTTAATAGTTCCATTTACGACATTTCTCATATTTGTTCAGAAATGCAGCATGGAGTTGACTCGATGGACGTAGTACATACCTAATTGAAACGCAAATGTGTTCCACATATACTTACTGTCTGAAGGTGGTACATATATTAAGGAAGGCAAGCAAGCTTATCGTTTTTGGACCGAAACATTGGAAACAGGTCCAGATTCTGTTCCGGGCATCATAACATAGAAGCTGGTCTCATCCAGAATATCATTTCTTTTCTCTCTGGGTGGTCCGCTCTGCGTGAGTGAGAACGAGATCCAAGGTGAAAATACAAGTACAGTAGCTAGCGATTTGCAATTTTAGGATTGATGGCCATTTAGCTCTAGAACTAATGTCTTTAAGACTCAGCACTGAGCGGAATGGTGACGGGGTTGATTCATTGAACTTGATCAACTACTTAAATTCTAGTATTGCCGACAGTAGGTGTGTGAATCGAGTCAGCCCACAATTCACGCGGTTATTCGAAAGTCGGAACCGTTTCCTACCTCTAACATAAATAATTCACTGATGTCTGAACCGGAAAAGTGTACATTATCACAATGTCCTATTTGTATGTCTATAGTTCTGCAGATTGTGAGAGTTTTTCGAACATGTATGGCAGTGCGTTTCTTAACGGTTTGTATTCCTGGTTCAGCCAAATTCCTTTATCTAAGGACTTCTTCTAAAAAGGCTCGAGTGCACTGGAAGTATTCTGGTCTACAGAAAATCACAGATCACACAGCCAATGATGACTTTGTATCACCGTCCCTCGTGTGTGATACCAGCCTAGTAGTCTTATTTGGCCTATAGAACATGATAGATGGTGATGATAATAATGCGAAATAACCAGTGTGGGGTAAAGTGCTCAGCAAATATTCTTTCTTCATCTGTAACACCCATTCGGTACCAGGCTATCATGCCACCTGAAGGAAACAGGACCGCGGAAGTACTGCAAAGTTGCCCAAGCCTAGACAGGATCAGTCCAGATGCCGGGGTCGGGTTCGAACTACGGACCTTCTGTTTAGCATGTTCGCATCGGATACTACACTTACGAACTCAAAGTCACTAATGTCAAACAGTCTGATCATTCGAATTCGCGGAAGAGGTCTCATTAGACGCTTATAAAACTTTTGTTTTGCCTTCAGCGCCTCAACCACCCAGTTTGGCCAGGTAACTAAAAACCCTGAAGGTAAGCTCTGCAAAATTGTGTTGGATGCTGTCTCGAGCGGTGCATTGAGTCACTGCATCAATTATGGTGTAGAACGTTGCGGTCTTGAGATGATGCATGGGAATCACAAATGAACCTCACTTTTTGTTGACCTGGTCCTTAATCACCGCATCTAAAAATCAGAAACAGTATATGAGAAAAAATCGCCCAGCTGTAGCACCTTTTTGGCACCTTTTTCACCATGTTACCAGAAGGAAGCACGAGGGCTGGGATACTGCCAGGTTGCCCAAGCCTAAACAGGGAAAGTCGAGAGGCATCGTTCGGGTTCGAACCGCGAACTTTCCACGCGCTCTAACCCTAAGCCATCGTTACCAGAAGGAAGCACGAGGGCTGGGATACTGCCAGGTTGCCCAAGCCTAAACAGGGAAAGTCGAGAGGCATCGTTCGGGTTCGAACCGCGAACTTTCCACGCGCTCTAACCACTAAGCCATCTCGCCTCCACAGTATGGGAGATCCGTAAGGTAGCTTAGGAGTCGAACGACAACCACAACCTAAACACTTTCTAAGTGTTCTAGCTTTAGGTATCAGCACTGACAAAAATCTTGCTCCTACGCGTTTGAGTGCATTAATAACACCGTTTTTCGCGGGTTATCCCAACAGGAAGCGCAAACAAGGAGCAAACAAGCAGCTACCTCATGGCTTGTGACGAGACGCAGGAACACTTTGCTTTATGTTCAATTCCGGCGCGTCCTTTTACATCTACTATCTGATTGCATAACATCTGGGGGAGCTTTTGGCTTCCTGACGGTTTTACTGCGATTTTTACTGAATTTTTACACTTTTTTCTCGACTTGCTCTCAGTGTCAAATCTCATTTCACGTTTGATTTATTATGCTCTTGTCCGCAGATGAGCGATGACAAGAATACACATGTCTACGTGACCGGTTTGCCGGTGGATATCACTGAGCCTGACTTTTTTGAGCTCATGTCCAAGTATGGTGTTATCATGAACGAACCTTTCACCGATCGGCCTCGAATCAAACTTTATTTGGACGAAGAGGGCAAGCCTAAGGGTGATGGGCGCTGCTGTTATGTAAAGGTCAGTCATTGTATGTCTTAGTCCATTTTCTGGTTTTCTGTTTGATTTTTTTAACTCTAATTTGCTGCTGGAGTGTCTTAAAGAGATTTCTCAAAACGAACAATGTGGGGCCACCTTTAGATGAATCCGAATCTCTTAGTTCAGAGTAGTGATCCAGAAAAACTGTATTGAGCTTTTGCCAACACAAGGAGTTTCTGTTAACAGTCCGTTCTCGTTTGCATCTGTTTTTCGACAGTTTAACAAGTCTTAGTAAGGCCAAAATGGGATATCATGCAATCTGTATGCGTGACGAATTGGGAGAATTTTTTCAACCCCATTGGTGTAACACTATCGTGGCAAGTGCCGGTTTGCGCTGAACTCCACAGCGCTCGTCATTTCCGACCGCTCATGTCCACAGCTGATCTCATTGGATTTATCTCAAATCTTTGTATGACATCTTTTTACATGACTATTAAGGCGGCTCGTTGGGATCATTAAACTTGCTCTGGCGCCTAACGGTGCTCTCTATCACTCTCTGACAAAACAGAAAGAGCCGAGTAAATTTGGTCGTATATTAGGGACAGTGTAGCCTTAAACCGCGATAACCGTGTGAAAAAAACACGTCTGTTAGACTGACTCGTCAGATAAAAATGTAAAGTTCGTGTGCATAATTTGATTGAAAAGAAATGTGACCGGGAATCGTGGAAAGTAACTACCGAATTCTCTCTTGCCGCCGGGTTGTAAAGACGCATTTGACCTTAACTCATAACTTATCTTCATCACAAACCCCTTTGCCAATTAGAGGAAGCTCCAGGCGTAGCCCTTCCACTTTTAGTCGCATTTCTGGTGTACTCTTCGTATCCTGTATAGGCGTCAATATTCAATTCAGCAAACTTGTTTTTCCAAGCTTACAGCATTAATTCCCCTGGTGAATGCAAATGAGAAAGGAATTAGTCGCTGCCCAAGAACTCTAACTGGGTAATACTGTGAGATGTTTTTTTTCGAAAATGTTTTCGCACCACTGTGCTTGTGATACGTCTAATTAGATATCCCTCAGTTCTAATCTTCATTCATTCTGAGTTTTTGCGGTTCCACTTGGGATGTGGTGACACCACTCTGAGAAAGTAATCGAACGGAAAAGGTTCATCTTCGTAATGCGCTACTCATAAGGTTGCTGAAAACGCCCCGACACCCCACGACCATTTTCGCCCTTCTTTAGGGCTCATCAGGTAGGCGCAGTTCCCGAGTTTCCGTCAACCGTATGTTCGACTACTTGAAACCAAATAGCACGAAATTAGCGAATATACACTCATTTGCAAACTAATTTGGTTTTTCGAGGGACTCACCTGGAACCCAGCTGAATCTCTCGGTTTTTATGTTTCCAATCAACTGAATATGCTGCACTAGGCCGCTTCATGTTTCACTCGCTACGATATTCGAGATATTGGGATACATATTTATTTTTGTGGTGGACTACTCANAAAGTTACCCAAGCCTAGACAGGATCAGTCCAGATGCCGGGGTCGGGTTCGAACTACGGACCTTCTGTTTAGCATGTTCGCATCGGATACTACACTTACGAACTCAAAGTCACTAATGTCAAACAGTCTGATCATTCGAATTCGCGGAAGAGGTCTCATTAGACGCTTATAAAACTTTTGTTTTGCCTTCAGCGCCTCAACCACCCAGTTTGGCCAGGTAACTAAAAACCCTGAAGGTAAGCTCTGCAAAATTGTGTTGGATGCTGTCTCGAGCGGTGCATTGAGTCACTGCATCAATTATGGTGTAGAACGTTGCGGTCTTGAGATGATGCATGGGAATCACAAATGAACCTCACTTTTTGTTGACCTGGTCCTTAATCACCGCATCTAAAAATCAGAAACAGTATGTGAGAAAAAATCGCCCAGCTGTAGCACCTTTTTGGCACCTTTTTCACCTTGTTACCAGAAGGAAGCACGAGGGCTGGGATACTGCCAGGTTGCCCAAGCCTAAACAGGGAAAGTCGAGAGGCATCGTTCGGGTTCGAACCGCGAACTTTCCACGCGCTCTAACCACTAAGCCATCTCGCCTCCACAGTATGGGAGATCCGTAAGGTAGCTTAGGAGTCGAACGACAACCACAACCTAAACACTTTCTAAGTGTTCTAGCTTTAGGTATCAGCACTGACAAAAATCTTGCTCCTACGCGTTTGAGTGCATTAATAACACCGTTTTTCGCGGGTTATCCCAACAGGAAGCGCAAACAAGCAGCTATCTGATGGCTTGGGACGAGACGCAGGAACGCTTTGCTTTATGTTCAATTCCGGCGCGTCCTTTTACATCTACTATCTGATTGCATAACATCTGGGGGAGCTTTTGGCTTCCTGACGATTTTACTGCGATTTTTACTGAATTTTTACACTTTTTTCTCGACTTGCTCTCAGTGTCAAATCTCATTTCACGTTTGATTTATTATGCTCTTGTCCGCAGATGAGCGATGACAAGAATACACATGTCTACGTGACCGGTTTGCCGGTGGATATCACTGAGCCTGACTTTTTTGAGCTCATGTCCAAGTATGGTGTTATCATGAACGAACCTTTCACCGATCGGCCTCGAATCAAACTTTATTTGGACGAAGAGGGCAAGCCTAAGGGTGATGGGCGCTGCTGTTATGTAAAGGTCAGTCATTGTATGTCTTAGTCCATTTTCTGGTTTTCTGTTTGATTTTTTTAACTCTAATTTGCTGCTGGAGTGTCTTAAAGAGATTTCTCAAAACGAACAATGTGGGGCCACCTTTAGATGAGTCCGAATCTCTTAGTTCAGAGTAGTGATCCAGAAAAACTGTATTGAGCTTTTGCCAACACAAGGAGTTTCTGTTAACAGTCCGTTCTCGTTTGCATCTGTTTTTCGACAGTTTAACAAGTCTTAGTAAGGCCAAAATGGGATATCATGCAATCTGTATGCGTGACGAATTGGGAGAATTTTTTCAACCCCATTGGTGTAACACTATCGTGGCAAGTGCCGGTTTGCGCTGAACTCCACAGCGCTCGTCATTTCCGACCGCTCATGTCCACAGCTGATCTCATTGGATTTATCTCAAATCTTTGTATGACATCTTTTTACATGACTATTAAGGCGGCTCGTTGGGATCATTAAACTTGCTCTGGCGCCTAACGGTGCTCTCTATCACTCTCTGACAAAACAGAAAGAGCCGAGTAAATTTGGTCGTATATTAGGGACAGTGTAGCCTTAAACCGCGATAACCGTCTGAAAAAAACACGTCTGTTAGACTGACTCGTCAGATAAAAATGTAAAGTTCGTGTGCATAATTTGATTGAAAAGAAATGTGACCGGGAATCGTGGAAAGTAACTACCGAATTCTCTCTTGCCGCCGGGTTGTAAAGACGCATTTGACCTTAACTCATAACTTATCTTCATCACAAACCCCTTTGCCAATTAGAGGAAGCTCCAGGCGTAGCCCTTCCACTTTTAGTCGCATTTCTGGTGTACTCTTCGTATCCTGTATAGGCGTCAATGTTCAATTAAGCAAACTTGTTTTTCCAAGCTTAGAGCATTAATTCCCCTGGTGAATGCAAATGAGAAAGGAATTAGTCGCTGCCCAAGAACTCTAACTGGGTAATACTGTGAGATGTTTTTTTTCGAAAATGTTTTCGCACCACTGTGCTTGTGATACGTCTAATTAGATATCCCTCAGTTCTAATCTTCATTCATTCTGAGTTTTTGCGGTTCCACTTGGGATGTGGTGACACCACTCTGAGAAAGTAATCGAACGGAAAAGGTTCATCTTCGTAATGCGCTACTCATAAGGTTGCTGAAAACGCCCCGACACCCCACGACCATTTTCGCCCTTCTTTAGGGCTCATCAGGTAGGCGCAGTTCCCGAGTTTCCGTCAACCGTATGTTCGACTACTTGAAACCAAATAGCACGAAATTAGCGAATATACACTCATTTGCAAACTAATTTGGTTTTTCGAGGGACTCACCTGGAACCCAGCTGAATCTCTCGGTTTTTATGTTTCCAATCAACTGAATATGCTGCACTAGGCCGCTTCATGTTTCACTCGCTACGATATTCGAGATATTGGGATACATATTTATTTTTGTGGTGGACTACTCATAAGGTTGCTGAAAACATTCAGCTGCCTGGAAACATGAAAACCGAGAGATTCAGCTGGGTTCCAGGTGAGTCTCTCGAAAAACCAAATTAGTTTGCAAATGAATATATATTCGCTAAGATTCATTTTCCTTTTTTGTGTCTTGTTGGGCCGAAACAGCACCACATCCAACTTCCCACAGTACTTCATGATGACAGCTACTTGACTGTTGCGTCTAATCTGCTTCACCACGTTATTCGGAAATATACCGGAATTCCTTTATTAGCCCCTCAGTTTCTCATTTAATTCTGCATTTTGCGCACTCGTTTTGATCTCGCTATCCCTCAGGTTGAGTCGGTTGATTTGGCCATGAAACTGCTGGAGGGAATGGAATACTCACCGGGCCATGTGCTTCACGTGGAGCGTGCCAAATTCACGCCAAAGGGTCAGTTTGATCCTAAAAAGCGTCGGCGTTTGACGTTGAAAGAAAAGAAGAAATTGAAGGAACAACAAGAGAGGTTTGTCAAGAGTATCAACCTTTTATCCGTGTGTATTGTGTGAACGGTGGACAATGTTGGGTTATGGGTTTTAACTTAAGTACCGCGCCCACGAAATACCTTCAGTCCAACTAGATTCGACGTTTTTCACGAACTACCAACTACATTGGAGGTTGATCAGATGGTCTTTGTTCGCTGAGCGTGGCAGTTAGCTTGCAAGTCTTAAGTCACCAACCGATTTGACACCACAAGTGCGCGGTTGCGTGGGGGACTCAGGAAACGTTTGCAAATTGATTGCCAAGCTCGGCAGGCAGAGCAACGGCTACCTGACCAACCACCAATGAACGCACTCAACTACCAATATTCCAGTACAGTTCCGTGCCACTAACTACATTTTAATTAAGCTCCGTTATCTAACGCATCCGGTCCGGTCGGCTGCCCGTTGGATTTTTGTTGTTGCGTCTCCTGCTTAGTTTTTTTTCGATTGTTGTTAACATGAAGCTTTTCCATGGACATCTTAGCATTGGTTATAATCTTTTGTTCTCCATTCAGTCTCTTCCGGTGGGGCATCGACACGAGCAAATTCGTTCGCAGCAAGAAGGAGCGAGTTTTGGTGCTAAAGAATGCATTCGTGGAAACAGACTTTGTGGTACGTCTTTCGTTAATTCATTTGCTCATCTTATTCCCGTTTTATTATTCTGATTGTGTGGCTGTTCTGGGTGATTCCCTTCGGCCCTAGTTAGGAAAAAAGAAGATATGCAGTTTGTTCTTTTAGTTTTTTAATTGAAGAGGGTGAAATTGGGACATGTCATTAATAATTTGCATGAAAAGGTCCGTTTTTCGGTACATTTGCCTCCAAACGAACTCACACAAGTAGCTGTCCACTAAA